GACAAGAGAGGGGTGTATGCACTGGGCCGCATCTCGACATGTAAACCACAGGCTGGGGCACTTGCGTTCCGAATTCCGGCTTTGCACCTGAAGCGCAACTTGCGTTAAATTAAACAATCTGTCTAGTGAAAAACATCAAAATCTGATTGGCTGTTGCAGTTGAATATCTTTGCATGCTTCCCAAGCAAAACATTTGCAAGATCCGCAATGTGGAGAAGGTAAAAAGTTTTGGATCATTTTTGTGCTTTTTTCCCGCTTATGCATTACAAACGATATCACGGTAAAGTTGTTTGTTAAACTGAACTGTCCTTACATTTCACACATATATACGTGGAAATTAGTGCTGACAACCTCGTAATTTTGCAACCAAACTAGCTAGGGAGCTAAAATTTTATGAGCTTGGTTCATGATTGTGTGGAACCAATAAACATTTCCTGGTTTCCAAGTAAGGAAATTTAGAAAATTACTTCCTGTCAATATGCGGCCCCACAAGTTCAGATTGAACTAGGCCTCACAAACAGATTCTTAAAAGCTTTGGCGGGGGATTTTTTAGCTTAAGAAATAGACATTTCAGCGATTTTTGCACATAACAATCTTTAAAGCATTGAATATCCTTTAATATGGATCGAATTGCGCAAAACGCATAATTGCACAGGCTGCCTTGTTGCGCTCCATTATTTGCTATTTGTTGTTTGAAAATCCGTTTTTGGAATTTCTAATCAAGCTAACCTTTTGTACTCCGTTCTGCTGCAAGCAGACTGCATCTGCTTCATCGCTGCGATCGCTACAGTCTGGTTCCCCATCACACATTGCAACTTTTGGTATACATTCAAAACCGTTCATGCACCGCACTTCTGTCCGAGAGCGGCATCTGAAATCAAAACACATATAGTTTCGCGAGAGCATAATTCAAACAAAAAGCAGCACTAATTCCACTCTTTTCATTTGAGCCTGCTTCAAGCAGAGAGCAAAAAATATGGAGGGAAATAATCTCAACACTGAGTTAACTCAGAAAGATCTCATGAATGAGCCAGGAAAGGTTCGTGCAACTTTTGGGATGAACACTGGCACTGTAACTGTAACAAAGTGCTGCTGAGATTTTTTAATGCTTTTTCTACACATAAG